TCCTCCTCTCCCCCAGGATAAATTCCTTACTCCACAATCAGATTTATCGGAACTTCCAGGCCACCACCCAGACCTGGCCAAAGGAAACCGCCTCTTTGTCTTTGTCTGAGCTATTACCTGGGGCAGAAACATTTCCTGCCCCTCCCACGTGGCTGATTCCTGTTTTATTTGGGGTCTACTGCCCAGGATCTACCTGTAGACTTCTGTATCTCCCCTTTTGGACTGGGAGCATCCTGGGGTCTAGGTGGCCTTTCAGTGCACCTCAGTATCTCCTGGGCCCAATAGAAGACCTGACATAAGAAGCCCCAGGCAAAGCCTTCTTGAATCCAGTTTACCTCGGGTTTAAACTCCCAGTGATTAGGCATGGTGGCATATGCCTGTAATCCTAGAACTTTGGGAGGCCAAGGTGGGAGAATTGCTTCAGTCCAGAAGTTTGAGAACAGCCTAGGGATCATCGTGAGACCCTGTCTCTACAAAACATTATGAAATTAACCTGTCATGGTGGTATAAGCCTGTAATCCCAGCTACTTGGGAGGCTAAGGAAGGAGGATTGCTTGAGCCCAGGAGTTCGAAGGCTGCAGTGACCCCTGATAGCATCACTGCACTCCAGGCTGAGTGACAGGCAGTGAGACTGTCTCTCCTGAGATTTAGCAAAGATTTTCTATTTTAGATTGCCATTTACCAAGTACCAAGCATCAAGCCACACTGGACTTCCTGGGAACAGTGCTGAGTGGAAGAAAAATTAGCTTCCACTCAGCTGAAGAGATCACGCAAACCCCAGCCTTCTAGCCCCTGTTCTGGCTTCAGCACCCCCTTCCAGAAGCTGCTGGTCACCTGACGACAGTCCAGCCAGCTGCTGCAAACTTCACTTACCACAGCAGAAGACTAACACACATCTTAAGTGCTAGAAGCTTCCATGTCCCTTAACTCAGGGTTTCCCTTGCCCACTCTCCTTATAAAGTAATTAATGTGGACCTGCCCTCTTCATTAAAAGCACAACCTTGGCCCAGCACTATGGTTCATGCCTGTAATCCCACCAATTTTGGGATGCCAATGCGGGTAGATCACGAAGTCAGAAGATCAAGACGGGGCCGGGCGCGGTGGCTCACGCCTGTAATCCCAGCACTTTGGGAGGCCGAGGCGGGTGGATCACGAGGTCAAGAGATCGAGACCATCCTGGTCAACACGGTGAAACCCCGTC